AGTCTCACTTCTGTCATGAACAGATGCATTTGCAGCAGACAGATTGGTGAGGATGAGGTCAAGTATATTTTTCCTTGGTTCCTTCGCCACCTGCATCAAGCACAGTCTAGCAACTATGTCCTTTAGGACTTGACCAGCTCAATCAGTATTGCTGCTGCCAAGCCACTCTTGGTGGGGACATTGAAATTCCCACCCAGGCTACATTCTGCACCGTTGCCACCCTCGATGCTTCTAACAAGTGTTGTTTAACATGGAGTACTGATTCATGAGCTGAGCAAGGAGGACGATATGTGGTAATCAGCAGGGGATTTCTTTGTCCGTGGTAAACCTGATCCATGAGACTTCATGTGTCTGAAGTCAATGTTGAAGACTCCGGCAACTTCCATCTGACTATATGCCTCTGTGCTGACACCTCTACTGACCTTCCAGAGGGACAAGACCTATCCAGGGATGGTGATGGTGGAGTCTGGAATATTTTATAAGAGGTTATTCCATGAGTATGAATATGTCAGCCTGTTGCTAGACTAGTCTGAGAGACGGTACTCCCAATTTTGGCACTGGTCCCCAGATGTTAATGAGGAGAACTTTGCTAGTTTGATAGGTCTGTTTTAGCCATTGTTGCTTCCAGTGCCTAGGTCAATGCCAGGTGGATTATCTGGTTTAATTTATTTATTGAGACTTTGTAGTGACTGATACGTTGATTGATACTGGCTTGCTAGGCCATTTTAGAGGGCAGTTGAGTCAAGCACATCTAATTGTCATCGTTAGATTCGTGATTCCAGATATTATTATTGTTGTTATTTTTAACAGCTTTTTTTTAAACCATGTACCTACTGAATAACTGGATAAATAATCTCATGGTAGAAATAAAATAGATCTATTCTTGAATTTTGACTATGAACATTCTAGTTTTCCTTTTATGAAGATGTGTGCTTTTTTTTTGAGCTCAATGCACAATTGTATTTTAAAGCTTCATGGTGAAAAATCAAATGAGGGTTCACTTCAAATTAGAAGCTTACTGCAAGTATAATGGAACTTTCTGATGACACTGCAAGTGTTCTACTTGAAACAGACCGAAGACCTACCTTTTTCAGCTGAATGACCTTCCCTCCATCATAAGGTTAGAAGTGGGGATGTTCACCGACGATTGATTGCACAATATTCAGCACCATTTGTTACTCCTCGGATACTGAAGCAGTGCATGTCCAAATGCAACACGATCTGGACAGTATCCAGGCTTGGGCTGACAAGTGCCAAGTAACATTTGTGCCACACATGCCAGTCTATGACCATCACCAAAAAGAGACAATCTAACCACCGCCCCTTAACATTTAATGGTGTTACCAATACTGAATCCCACACTGTCGTCATCCTCAGGGTTATCAATGACCAGAAACTCAACTGGATTCACCACATAAACAGTGTCTACAAAAGCAAGCTAGAGGCTAGGATTACTGTGGCGAGTAAGACACCTCCTCAGTTTCCATAGCCTGTCCACCATCTAGAAGGCACAAGTCAGGAGTGTGATGGAATACTCCCCATTTGCCTGAATGGGTGCAGCCCCCAACAGCACTGAAGAAGCTTGACACCATCCAGGACAAAGCAGCCCACTCGATTGGCACTGCATCCACAAACGTCCAATCCCTCCACCACTGATGCTCAGTAGCAGCAGTGCATACTATCCATAAGATGCACTGCAGAAGTTCACCAAAGATCCTCACACAGCACTTTCCAAACCCATGACCACTTCCAGGTCGAAGGACAAGGGCAGCAGATATACGGGAACACCGCCACTTTCAAGTTCCCCTCCAAGCCACTCACCATCCTGATTTGGAAATATATTGCTGTTTTCTCACTGTCGCTGGGTCAAAAATCCTGGAATTCCCTCCCTAACGGGATGATAGGTCAACCCACAGCAGGTGGACTACAGCTGTTCAGGAAGGCAACTCACACCTACCTTCTCAAGGGCAACTAGAGATGAGCTACAAATACTGACCAGCCAGCAATGCCCACATCCCACAGAAATGAATAAATAAAAGTCCAGTTCCTAGTAAGCATGCACCAGTATCTAAACTCCTTCTATAGTTTCTATCAATTGTACTTTCAATCAGTCATAAGATGGCAGATGGGAAAATGGGGAAAAAATAGTACGTTTGTACAATAAGAGATGCTGTTTTGAGTTTGGAGTTGAGGAACATTTTTGAAACAATAGAGGAACTTTACTCTTCAATCTAGCTGGGTATCTGGTTGTTTTGACACTATAGCCTGAAATGGGAAAAGCTACATTCCCCAAGAATGTGTATTTCACATTGATCAATGCAAAACCTGTAGTTCTTCTCCCTAATTTTTCTTCATATCAAGAAGCGGTAGTAGGTGATTCATTATTAAAACTGGAGGAGTGGACAGTCACCACTTCTAACTCACCCTTTTAATAAAACTTCTATGCTAGACTAACATTCTGTAGTTGTACACCCAGCTTTTCAATCAATGTGCTTCATAATAATCTAAATTCTTGTAGTCCTTTCCAAGTGGAAATGGGAAAAATTTTAAAATTTTATGTCAATTTATTAATACTTACAGCTGATTAGTAGTCCTAACTTTAATTTGTAATGTGTCCTTTTTTTTTTTTAGGTAGTAGAACATCGAGACTCCCATAGAAAAACAGATTAAGGAACAGTACTGTCTAAAGAGAACAATGTACTAAAGTGCCTTCATTGGAAAAGAAACGAGTTTTAATTTGTTGTCAAAGGGAGGATGAATAGTGAGGAAGAGTTTTATGATGCCGTTACAGGCAAGTATCTGGAGTGTCATTTGACAATCTCATCCTGTACCTATTGATACTTGTTTTAAACATTACTTAATCAATGTTTGTCGTGAAGGAATGAAAGCCAAAGCTGCCAAAAGCTGTTTATGTTCTATTCCAGGTTATTGGGCAGTAGCTTACTGTTCCTTTTTTGAGATACTACCACAAGGCTCAGTTCCTTATTCCATCATTCTAATTATGAAGACAAATTCTAAAACAACTTCAGAAGCCTCCAAAAATGATATTAATACTAGAGTATTATTGATAGATACTTCTAATTATTTGAAGATACATCTGTCAGTAATTTGATTATGTATATAAAGAATCTCTAATTAGGGATAGGTGAGTGTACCTAAACTCTCATATAGTAAGAGAAAACCCTTTGGAAAATTATAGATGTATAATCCCTATGAGTGAAATCTCACATGCATGCGTCACTTTCTGGGAGATATTATGTTAGTGTAGAGTAGGTTACATATTTTCTAATATATGTAACCTGTTCCTAATTGGTTGATTCACTGAATTGTTATGGTGCAGAAGAAGACCATTTGGCATATTGTATCTCTGTCAGCTTTCGAGTGAGCACAGGGACTTGGTGCTGAGGGGAAAATATATTTGGTGCCTGTTACGCCTGAACATGGCTACTTCATGGGCCAAATTCAATATCTAACAGACTCCATTAATAAGGCATGAAAATAGAAGCTGCTGGAGAAACTCAGCAGATCTGGCAGCATCTTTGGAGAGAGAAAAACACTTAATATTTTGAGCGCCATATGGCTTCTTCAGAATAGAGCGACTGCTAAAGGTTATATCCGTCTCTGAAGATTAATATAAAACGAAGATGGTTACATCAGGATGGCGTCAGGGCCTTCCACTCCTTCCTGGAAAGAAGGCCTGACACATTCCATCCACCATCACTCTTTTTCTTACCTGGCTGAGCTTGTTCTCACTTTGAACAACTTCTCCTTTAACTCCTCTCGTTTTCTTCATGTGAAAGGTATGGCCGTATGGGCTCCAGTTTTGCCTGTCTCTTTGTGGCTAGCAGTCTTGTTCCAATCTTATTCTAGTCCCTCCACCCAAATCTTTCTCCAGTACATCGATGACATTATCAGTTATGCTTCCCTGACTTGTTTGGAATTGGAAATATTTAGTAATTTCACTTCCAGTTTCCATCCTGCCCTCATCTTCAGCTGATGTATCTCCGACTCCTCTCTTGTCTACATCTGGGGATATACACTACAAACCCACTGACTCCTGCAGTTATCCCAACTATAGTGGGAAGCCTTCAAAAATGAGATAGTGAGAGTCCAGAGGCAGTGTGTTCCTATTAGTGGGAAGGGTAAGACTACTTGGTGTAGGGAATAGGGAATGACTAGAGAAGTTGAGGCTCTGGTCAAGAAAAAGATGGAGGCAAATGGCAGGTATAGACTGGTGGGATCGAGTGAATCCCTTGGAGTATAAGGGCAGTTGGAATATATTTGAGGGAAATAAGAAGGGCAAAAATAGGACAAGAGATAGTTTTGACAAATAGGGTTAGGGAGAATCCAAAGATTCCACAAATACATTTAAGGGAAAAAGAGTAACCAGGGAGAGAATAGAGCTCCTTAAAGATCAACAAGGCTGTCTATGTATGGAATTGCAGGAGGTGAGTGAGATACTAAATGAGTATCTCGTGTCAGTATTTACTGTGGAGACAGATATGGAATCCAGAGAACTTGGAGAAGTGTCCATATTTACAGAGGTGGTGCTGGACACCTTACAACATGTAAAGGTGGAGAAATCCTCGGGACCTAATCAGTTGTATACCAGAACTTTGTGGGAAGCTAGGGAAGTGATTGCTGGGCCGTTTGCTGAGATATTTATATGATCGATAGTCACGAGTGAGGTGCAGGAAGACTGGAGGATGGCGAATGTGGTGCCATTATTTAAGGAGGTAGTAAGGAAAAGCCAGGGAACTACAGACTGGCGAGTCTAGTGTCAGTGGTGGGTAAGTTGTTGGAGGGAATTCTGAAGGACAGGATCTATATGTATTTCAGAAGGCAAGGACTGATTAGGGATAGTCAACATGGTTTTATGCATGGGACATAATGTCTCTTTAACCTGACTGAATGTTTTGAAGAAGTGACAAAGAAGATTGAAGGCAGAACAGTGGATGTTGTCTGTATGGACTTCAGCGAGGTGTTCAACAAGGTTCTGCATGGTAGACTGGTTACCAAGGTTAGATCACATGGAATCTGGAGGAGCTAGCCAATTGGATACAAAATTGGCTTGAAGGTAGGAAACAAAGGCTGGTGGTGGAGGGTCGTTTTTCAGACAGGAGGCCTGTGACCAGTAGGGTGTCGCAAGGGTTGGTGTTGGGTCTGTTGTTTTTGGTCATTTATGTAAATAATTTGGATGTGAATATAGGAGGAATGGTTAGTAAGTTTGAAGATGATGCCAAAATTGATGGTGTTGTGGACAGTGAAGAAGGTTATCTTGGAGTACAATGGCTCCTTGATCAAATAGGCCGATGGGCCAAAGAATGGCAGATGGAGTTTAATTTAGATAAATATGAGGTGTTGCATTTTGGTAAGGTGAATCAGGGCAGGACTTACTGGTTGGCTCCTGGGGAGTGTTGCTGAACAAAGACACCTTGGGGTGCAGGTTCATAGCTCCCTGAAGGTGGAGTCGCAAATTGACAGGGTAATGAAGATGACATTTGGTATACTTCCCTTTATTGGTCAGTGCATTGAGTATAGGCGTTGGGATGTCCATGTTGTGGCTGTATAGGACATTGGTGAGGCCACTTTTGGAATACTGCATTCAATTCTGGCCTCCCTGCTATAGGAAAGATGTTGTTAAACTTGAAAGGGTGCAGAAAAAATTCACAAGAATGTTGCTGGGGATGGAGGGTTTGAGCTATAGAGAGAGTCTCAATAAGCTGAGACTTTTTCCCCCTGTTGCTTTGGAGGCGGAGAGGTGACCTTTATACAGGTTTATAAAATCACGTGGGGCATGGATAGGATGAATAGCTAAGGCCTCGAATAGGGGAGTCCAAAACTACAGGGCATAGAATTAAGGTGAGAGGTGAAAGATATAAATGGAACCCGAGGGGCAACTATTTCACAGAGGGTTGTGCGTGTATGGAATAAGTTGCCGGATGAAGTAGTGAAGGCTGGTACAATTACAACACTTAAAAGACATCCGGATGAGTACATGAATAAGAAGGGTTTAGAGGGATATGGGTCAAATGCTGGCAAATGGGACTGGATTAATTTAGGATATCTGGTTGGTGTGGATGAGTTGGACCAATGGGTCTGTTTCTGTGCTGTATGACACTATACATCCTCAAACTCTGCTTCCTGTAAAGACTGTATTCTATTGTCCCTGGTTTCTCTATCTCTGTCGCATCGTTCTAATGATGCCACCTTCCCTGTTACCATGGATAACAATCCTTTATCTATGTCTGACCTATCTCCCGCACTTCTGCCCTCACTACTCCCTCTCCTGCCACAACAATGGGTCCTTAGTTACCACCCCACCAGTCTTCCCATAAAGATTGTAAAGTGGCTATTTCAGTCACCTCCAACGAGATGCCATGATCAGCACATATTCCTCTCCCCTCTCGTCAGCATTTCGAAGGGAACATTCCTTCTGGGACAATCTGGTACACTCCTCCTCCATTCCTAACATCTCTGCACACTCTCACAGTACCTTCCCTGGAATCCCAGAAGGTATAATACCTGCCAGTTTGCTCCTCTTTCTCACCATCCAAGGCTCCCGACATGCCTTCCAGGTGAAGCAGTGATTTACCTGTACTTCAATCAACCTAGTCTACTGCATTCACTGCTCATAATGTGATCTCTACATTGTGGAGATGAAATGTAGGCTGGGTGACTACTCTGCAGAACACCAACGTTCTGTCCTCAAAAATGACCCTGAGCTTCATTTGCCTGCCACTTCAACACACCACCGTGTTCCCACACCAGCATTTCTGTCATAGGCCTGCTGCAGTGCTCCAGCAAACCTCGGCGCAAGTTCTAAGAACAACGTCTCACTTTCCATTCTGCGGAAGGATCACTGGACCTGAAACGTTAACTCTGATTTCTCTCCATAGATGCTGCCAGACTTGTTGAGCTTTTCCAGCAACTTCTGTTTTTGTTTCTGAATTATGGCATCCGCAGTTTTTTTTGGTTTTTATTTCATTTTCCGCTGGGGGGACTCTGCGGCATCGATACTCAACATTAAGTTCAATGACTTTAGAGCCCAATTCTATCCTTCCACAACTTTTTCTTCCCCACCCCACACCCAGTCCAGTTCTGGCATGGGTTGCTTTTAGTACAGTCATCAATTCCCACATACTCTTATGCCCATTTCACATTATATGGGTTGCATTCAGCGCAGCTAACCCATTTTCTCACTCTTAGCTCTTAGTATCACTTACAGTATTTGGCTTTTCTTGTATCCTGGCCTGCTATCCATCATCTCCCTGTTTACTTATCTCTTTCATAACGCTGTCTCGCTCGGCTCCATGTCCACCTAACTGCTTACCTCTCTCCCTCCTACCCCACTTCAGCATTAGCATAAATACAGAAAACTTTTTATTAACTGGCACCTTTGGGACCAGGAGTGTGCCGTTTGATGAAATGTTATGATTGATTAAGTGGACCTCTTGATCAATGTAAAAATACATACTGAATAGTAGAAATGTAATAAACTTTTATTTACAGCATAAGTCACTGAAATAATAATACAACTTTGCCTTTAATAAAACTTACCGGCAGAGAACCATCTCAGTCACTCTTTACTGCCTACTAAGACATCGTGGAGATTGCAAAAATGAAGTCAACATCTGGTAGTTCAGGTATATAATTTTGCTGGTTTAGTGAGTATGCCAGTTCATAAGATGCCAGTTAAAACAAAGTTTGCTGTACCATGTTACAGTTCTGATGAAGAGTCACCAGACTTGAAACGTTAACTTTACTTTCTTCCCACAGATGCAGCCAGACCTGCTGAATTTCTCCCGGCATTTTCTGTTTTCGTTTCTGATTTCTACTATTCACATTTCCTTCAATTAATAAGGCAGTCATGTTGAATAATTCTTCTGCCTTCGCTAATAATTTTTGCATTTATTTTCAAAGCAAGATGTCAGTTTTGGGAAGTTTAATTCTGCAAGGTCAAGATCAATGTGTACAAATGATATTTCTATAATTCTTCATAGTAATGTAATCTATATATAAGTAAAGCAAATGGCCAAGTCAAGTAATTACCTAGCTTTTTTTTGATATGGGATTCCTTATTTGTTTATTTCAATTTATTTTGTACATTTAAATTATTTCCTTCAAAGACAGATGTTTTTTGTTATCTTACAATCATTGAATGTTTTGAAATTGTTTTGCCATGTTAGCTACCTCTGTCAAAAAGGAAGAAAGAAACTGACTGCCTGATACTTGATGCAAAATTTGTAGAAAACGAGAGAGAAAGTTAGTTATTTTCCTTATTGGATATGGTTACCTAATGTTAACAGAAGACATAGAACATGGATTGCATTTTCATATTCATTTGATAATTTTGATAAAGCCCAGCTTATAAAATAAATCAGAATTCATTATGTGTGTTATTACTCTAGGGTTTGAATCAGATGATTCTGAAACCAGAATGGATCCAATGGTGTCAGATGATTCATTGAGTTTGTTCAGTAAAAGTGAAAGCAGTGCATCTGAACAAAATGTTCACAACAGAGAACCAACCCAAGAAAATGGAATTAAGAAACATAGGTGAGTTCAACTGATTGGTTTACAAAATTTGCATAATATGTGACCTAATTGAATAACATTAGGTCAAACTTTAAAAATGGGAAATAAAGATGGATCTGATCAGTTAGGTGGAATAGCATTTTTCTTATTCCAATAGTATAATAATTTTTTCTGGCACGATTCATTTTTGCAGTATTTTAGAATTCTGTAATAAAGAAGAATTATTGCGTTATAGCATGTTTTAACCCTGTGAGTCCTTCAAGATGCATCTGTCTACTGTTTTCTTTTTTGTTTTTGTTACAGAACTTCTTTACCAGCTCCAATGTTTAGTAGAAATCAATTAAGTTTGTGGAGTATTTTAAAGAAATGCATTGGACTGGTAAGTATATATTAATTGGCTGATTCAAAGCAACTTTAGACTTGAAACTGAATGTTGTTTTTCATTATGGTACTGACAGTGATATTCCTAACCTTTTATATTTACCCCTGATTTGTTGTTGACATAAGTTTTGGGTTTTGTCATTGAACGAACCAGTTACACACTTTGTAAGTTTTAACAATTTGTCAGTGTTTGATCACACTTTCCATTTCTAAACTGTCCAGCTGAAGATGACCATGTACTTGCTTTCTTCTTCTATTATGTAATCAGTCATAGCTGAAGTATCTTCAGCAATGGCTTCTCTACAGTTCCAGACCTTAACTTCCTGAAGACCTCCAAAACTTTTATCATTGACTGCTCCCCCTTCCTCACCTACTTGCAACTGCTTGATGTTTTTGTCCAGTGTAGGTGTTAGCTAGGTCTATCACTCTTTCAATTCTTCCATTGCTTCTGTGTGTCAGCTACTTGCCCAATATCTAGAATGAAGCACTTTTTCCTCCAGTTAAATTTTGGGAAAACTGCCCTACTCTGGCCAATGTTTCTAGTATGTTTTTGCCACTTCCACACTTTGACTATTCCAACATTCCTGACTGGCCTTCTATCGTTCACCCTCTAAAATGTCAGATGACCCAAACTCTACTGTCACTTAATGAGCAGTCATTCTGTTCGCTCATCGTCCCATTTCTTGTTGACTTATGTTGGCCTCCAGGCTTCCAATCTAAATTTCTCCATTTCATGTTCAAACTCACTTAATGACTTCACCTCCCCATGTTTCTGGAACCTCTCTCCGTATTACAATACCCTGAAAATTACGCTGCTTCTGCATGCCCTCACTCGATTAAACACATGGTCATGATAGCTATGTTTGTTCTAAACTCTGAACGTCTGTCTCCAAATCTATGCACATCTATCTCTTAAGGCCGTTCTTAAAGCCAACGTATCTTCCCAAAGTTTTGTTACTACTTTAGCTCAGGTTCAGTTTTACTTGTAAAATCTCTGTGCAATACCTTAGGATATATTAATACATTAAAAGTGCAATACAAGTATAAGTATAAGATGTTGACACTTGAAAATACGGATAGAAACCAAAAAAGGCAGAAAAGAGGAGTGTCCTTTTTCTGCTGCATACTTTTGATAGCTTTTCTTTTAAAAAGAAAAAAAAATTCTTTTGCCTTTAGTTAAACAGTGCTAGGAAAACGCTCTTAAAGTTGTTCATTGGAGCAGGATTTTCCTGCAGGCTTTGAAGCTTTGATGTTCAAATGAGGCTCCTGAGCCAGCCCTTGCTGCCAGTGAAACTAGCACAGAGATATTCTTGAAGCAGCATCCGGATTGATTATTTTTGAAATTGACTGCTAGATTAGGCTCAAGCAGAAGGCCAGGTACTCTAGAGTCCTCTCTGTTAAGAGAAGCCTCATGGTTGCACCCCCAAAGGGAAATTAAGTTTAGGTCATCGGAATGAGGGAAGCCCTTGGGCCCTAAAAATTGGAGGGGGATATCCTTCTGGATTGCTTCACAGAACCCTCTTCGGGTGCTGAAACCTCCTGCATTAGACGCTAGCACCTTCTGTACCATGTTGAGTGTTCACCTCCACCAGCAAAATAACTCCCAATCAGTCCTCGATTATATAAATTGACTGCCTATCTCCGTGGTGCAGGTAGCTAGCTTGTTATGTATTATAAAAATTGACTGTCTTCATTTTTTGTCTTTTAGGAATTGTCAAAAATTACTATGCCCATTATATTCAATGAACCTTTGAGCTTTCTGCAACGAATTACAGAATACATGGAACATACGTATCTCATCCACAAAGCTTCTATGCTTTCTGATTCAATAGAAAGATTACAGGTAGGTGTGTTTTGATGGTTCCAGCTGAAAATATATTTGTTTTCTACCTTTCATAGTGGATCTGGTCGAGAATTGAAATAATGTTGTGTCAAGTGTGAAGGCTAAAAGCTATAAGTGAAACCATTAGTAATGGTGAAGGGTGTGAGAAATTTGAGATTAAATATATTTAATCTGGTTTTAATTTGATTTGAGTCATGAACCAAAATTGTTAGACTCTGCCAGTTTGATATGCAAATAAAGTTGCTGAATTTGCAACATTCCAAATATTCCAAAGAGATGTCAGATGCAGCAAAATTAAAGTGATCTCTGATGCTTGCCTAAATACTACATAGGGATAAATGCAGGGAAATTGGCCCTTTTTCAATTGACTCCATTGCAGCAATGTTAAACAAATGTTTGTGGCATTTGGCAAACTTGTAGTTTTAACCCGTTAGCTTTAGAAGGAGCTTAAATGAGCTGATAGCTACATTTCTGTAGGTATCACTTTAAACTTCAAAGTCTTTCTTTTTTATATTTCTTGCATAGACTGTAGCTGCATTTGCAGTTTCTGCTGTCGCATCACAGTGGGAAAGGACTGGAAAGCCGTTCAACCCACTACTGGGTGAAACCTATGAACTTAGAAGGTGAGAGAGAAATTGCAAGGTTCCAAATAAATAACATCTATCAGTACTAGTTACATTGGTTCCCATAAAACAGAGCCAAAGTAGGGATCGCGAGCTCTAATATTGCAGTGGCCATTGTAGAACTGAATTATAATAGCTGTGTTCCCGTTCTAATAAGCCCCTGCTCTTGGAGAAGGGCTGTGGCAATTTTCAAAATAGAATCACAATTGGAAAATGTTTGAGAAGATGTGTAATTGCTTCAAATCTGGAATTGCTGTAAATGTAATAACTTTATAGCTGCAGAACCCAAATGCAAGAAGTTGGCTAATGAAAGTTTGTTGGTGTTCCCCTTTAGAAATAATGGCAGGTGTAAATTCCTTTGATAGAAATGTTAATAGTAAATCTTTTCAGAATAATGTGGAACTTTGGGGGCGGGGGGAAGAAAAAAAAATGTTGGTTTTTACCAGGACATTTACTACTGAATGCAGTTATTTTACTTAAAATCGTTGTTCATTAATGGAGTAAATGCTTGACCATATTTCCTGTGGTTCTCTGTCCTCTGCCCCCTCCCCTCATCCTATCTCTCTGTCTGTCTCTCCCTCGTGCGCTCTCTCTCTCTCTCTCTCTCTCTCTCCCCCTCTCTCTATCAGCACATCTTGTGGCTAAAAGTGCAGATTCAATAAACAGCTTGGCTCCAGATAGTTTGTGATACAATTTGAATCCGATAGGAAAAAGTGTGTAGGTGATGTCTGGCTTCTGCTGAAATTGTCCACTTTTGTAGAAAAGTGTTGAAGTTGGATGAGATTTGAATTTTGCTTGAGTATGAGACATGCTGACCGAATTCATTTTTTTATTTTTGAATTGTATTGTGCTAACAGTTTGTCTATTTGCAAGTTGATGTTTGTAGTGACTAACTGTGAAGTTTTTTTAAAATTTACTTGTGGGACATAGGCGTCACTGGCTAGCCAGCATTTATTGCCCGTGCCTGGAAATGAGACGGCCTTGAGAAGGTGGTGATGAGCTGCCTTTGTGAACCACTGCAGTTCACATGTTATAGGTTGCTGTACCGTCGGGAAGGAATTCTAGGATTTTGATTCAGCGTCAGTGAAGGAACAGCAATATGTTTCCGTGTCAGTCAAGTCAGTGGCTTGAAGGGGAACTTGCAAGTGTTCTTGTACATCTTCTGTCATTGTCTTTCTGGATGAAAGCAGTGAGTTTGGAAGTTGCTGTCTAAGGATCTTTGGTGAATTTCTGCATTGCTGCTTTTGGATAGTAGCAACAGTGTGTGCTGAACGACAATGGTGGAGAGAGTAGTTGCTAGTGGACGTGGTACCAGTCAAATGGGCTGCATTTTTCTGGATGGTGTTAAGATGCTTGAGTGTTGTTGGCACTGCCCCTTTCCAGGCAATTGGAGAATATTTCATCACACACCCGACTTGTGCCTTGTAGATGGTGGACAGGCTTTCGGAAGTCGGGAGGTAAATTATTCACCACAGTATTCTAGCCTCTGACCTGCTGTCACAGCCACTGTGTTTACGTGGTGAGTCCAGTTGAGTTTCTGAGTTTTGAGGTGTCTTATCTTATGCAGTTTAGTTGTGTAGCAACTGAACAATCTTTTTAAAAAACTGGTGATTTAGCTCCTATTTAAAGATATACTAAATTTAAACCATTTGGAAAATTTCCAGAATTAAGCTGGTGAAAGTGAAATGTTTATACCTTAATTGTTTTGCTTTCTTTTTTGGTAGGAATGATCTGGGATTTAGGCTTATTTCTGAGCAGGTTAGCCATCACCCACCAATCAGTGCATTTTATTCAGAAGGCGTAAATAAGGATTTCGTTTTCCATGGTTCTATCTATCCAAAGCTTAAATTTTGGGGAAAGAGTGTCGAAGCAGAACCACGTGGAACTATCACACTAGAACTTAACAAGTAAGTATGTTTATAATTTTGAGTATGGAAATCTTTGTTTACTTTTCATCTCAACACAAGTTTTTAATTATTGAATGAGATATCTGTAGTTTAAATAGAAGAAAACATAATATTATTTGTGAAAAGGATGATTAACATTTCATAAGGATTACCTGAAAATTCTAACTTAGCATATTAACTGTAAATCTCTTTGTTAAAATCACCCTATTAAATCAGTTGTTACAATGAAGATGTTAATATTGTAGCTTACATTTGGATAAGTTATCATTCTGTAACTTGGAGTAGTTATTTTGTATGATTATAATTACTAGTTGTTTAGAGAAGACTATTCTCCCTCATCTTGGGGAAGATGGACTATACTGATCCATCTACACTATCTTCAAAATCTTCAGTTAGACTCTTTACTCGACTATTAGATCTATCTTGTTTCTTCCTGAACAAAAATTGATCCAGCTATGTGCAGAATGTGTTTTGTTTACAAATAAGCATTGTATATGTCATTCAGACCAATATTTCTCAATATTTGGGGCAGCATGGTGGCTCAATGGTTAGCACTGATGCCTCAGTGCCAGGAACCCAGGTTCGATTCCACCCTCGGGTGACTGTCTGTCTGTGTGGTGTTTGCATGTTCTCCCCATGTCTGCATGAGATTTCCTTTGGGTGCTCTGGTTTCCTCCCAGAGTCCAAAGATGTGCCGGTTAGGTAGATTGGCCATTCTATATTGCCTATAGCGTCCAGGATTGTGCAGGCTAGGTGGATCAGCCATGGGAAATGATGGGTTACAGGGATGGGGTAGGGGTGTGGGGCTGGGTGGGATGCTGTTCAGAGGATTGGTGTGGATTTGATGGACTGAATGGCCTGCTTCCACACTGTAGGGAATCTATGATCTGTGATTTTGTTGTATTTAAATTGTATTTGTAGCACTGAAACAGATAATTAGGCAGAACTTGCCTGTGCTGTTGTTTAAGTGCCTGTGATCCTCCTCCCAGCCTTCTCTTAGTTCAGTCAACTTATCCTTTTATTCCTTTTCCCCCTTGTGTTTTTCTAACTTCCCCTTGAATGAATCTATACTTCTTTCGGTACTGTATTTTACATTCTAATCACTCTGTTAAAAGAAAAGCTATTCTTGAATTTATTTGTGAGCATTTAAGACTCCTTTTTGTTGTCTAGTCTGCAAATGGAAGCATCATTACATCTACCATCATTAAATTATTTCATAATCGTAAACTCTATTTGGCCCCAGCTTGTTCATCATTCCTAGGAAGGAGGCATTGTTGGGCCTGAGTTGGGACAAGTGGATCACCAGTGTGTGGGGGAACATGTGGGTAAGAGTGATCATTATATGATGAGGTTTAGATTAAATGGTTTCTTGTTCTTCTCTGTTACTGAAATATAAATTTGAAGAGGGCTAACTTCAATAGAATAAAGTTTTTTTTTTTTAAGAAATACTAAGGAATAGATGTTTCAGTCACACACAAACATGGAAAAAATTTAGAAGAATTGTAGTCCAAGGTTTATTGGATGACGAGGAGATATAAAATCTGATGAAGCAAAAATTAAACAGGGTACATAAAGGACTTCAGGTGAATTTTTCAATCAGGCCAAATACAATAAATTGAGAGAAGTAACGAGTCACAGAGTCATGAAGCACGGAATCAGACCCTTCAGTCCAACCGGTCCATGGCAACCATAATCACAAATTAAACTGGTCCACCTACCTGTGCTTGGTCCATATCCCTGCAAACCCTTCCTATTCATGTACCTGTCCAAATGTTTTTTAAACATTTGTAACTGTACCCATATCCACCAATGGGGCAGCACGGTGGTTAGCACTGCTGCCTCACAGCACCAGGGACCCAGATTCAATTCCATCCTTGGGCGACTGTCTGTGTGGAGTTTGCACATTCTCCCTGTGTCTATGTGGGTTTCCTCTGGGTGCTCTGGTTTCCTCCCAAAGTCCAAAGATGTCCAAGCAAGGTGGATTGTCCATGCTAAATTGCCCCATAGTGTTCAGTGATGTGTAGATTAGGTGGGTTATAGGGTCTGGGTGTGAAGGCCAGTGTGGACTTGTTGGGCTGAAGGGTCTGTTTCCACACTGTAGGGATCAATGATCGACTTCCTGTGGAAGTTAATTCCACACACGAACCACTCTGTGTGTGTTTTAAAAAAAAAAGTTGGCCCTCATGTCCATTTTAAATCTTTCTCCTCTCACTTTAAAAATATGTCCCCTAGTCTTGAAATCCCTCACCGTAGGAAAAAGACACCTGCCATTCACCTTATCTATATCCCTCGTGATCTTAACCTCAATAAGGTCACCCCTCAACTTTCTAAGCTCCAGTGAAAGAATGTCCCAGCCTGTCTAACCTCTCCCTATAATTCAAACCTTCCATTCCTGTTAACATCCTGGTAAATCTTTTCTGAACCCTCTTCAGCTTGATAATATCGTTCTTATAACAGAATGATCAGAACTGGACACAGTACTCCAGAAGAGGTCTCACCAATGTCCTCTACAACCTCAACATGATGCCCCAACTCCTGTATTCAAAAGTCTGCGCAATGAAGGCATGTTAAATACCTTCTTAACCACCCCGCCTACATGTGATGCAAACATCAAAGAATTACATACCTGGACTTCTAGGTGTCTTTGTTCAACAACTATAAGACTGGCAAAAATGATTGAGAAAGGAATGGGAGTTAACATAAAAGGGAAGCCAGAAATTTTCTACAATGTGGAAATAGTATGCAGGAATAAAGAAGCAGAATCAGAGGCAAAGAAGCTGATAACCTTTTTTAGAGGTTCACTGCAAGGCTGGAATTTATAATAAGTTCTGATGATTTACAAAAGGAGTAGATGCTAACAAAATATTGATTGAAGTGGAGATGATTGAGGTAATGTATCAATGAAAATTGATAAGCAAGATATATTGAAGGCTATGCTTAAGAGGGTCCAAATGGCACGCTTCCCAGGTTGCTAAAGGAGTAGGGTGAAGTTAACAAAAGGGCTTCCCATAATATTTCAGTTTTCCCTGTGTATGGAGAAGTTGCCAAAATATTGGAGATTAGCAAATGTGACACCATATTCAAGGTAGACTGTAAGTACATTCCTCAAGATATCACAAGATAGTCAGTTTAATACTTGTGGTAATGTTTTAGAAACAATAATTTTGAAAAAAATCGAAACCAGTCTAGATTTGCAAAAGGCAGATCCCACTTTACTAGTTTGATTGATTATATTTTTTTGAAATGAAGAGAAGGTAATAAATTTCGGGTATATAGATTTTTAAGGAAACCTTTTGATAATGTACCATATGAAAGGCTGGTTAATAAAAATGGCTAGTATCAGCTTGGACAAGAAAACTGATTTCAGGACATAAATCAGTAGGACATGGTAAATAATTGTTTTTCCAAACAGGACGATGGTCAACAATGGTGTTCTTCAACATTCAGTTCCAGGATTATTGTTTATTTTTTTAAAATAACCTGAATATTGGCACATAGAGGAAGGTTTCAAAATTTGCTGTTGGTACATAATTTGGATGTCTGGCAAATGGGAAGGATGATACCAATGTCTGCAACAGGATATAAAGTGCCTGCCCACTCTGCTAGCCTGTTGGCAGATGGAATTTAAAACAGAAAAGTATGGGGCAATAACTTTTGGCAGAAGAGGCCGGGAGAGGCATTATAGACTTAATGGCCCAGTTCTAAAGGTTATGAGGACTTGACGGTTCATGACTGTGGATCTTTAAAGGTAACAAAGCACATTGAAAAGTCAGTAAAACATATGGCATTTTGAACCTGGCAAATAGAGGTGATGATTATAAAAGCAAGGAAATTAGGCTCAAACGTTAGTAAGTCTTGGTTAAGTTACAACTCCAGTATTCTATCCAGTCTAGCCACTTCACAAAAGATTTACCAGAACAAGTCCAGCAATGATAGATTTTAGCTGCAAGGTTAGGTGGGAGAAGCGGAGGTTGTTCTCCTTAGAACAAAAAAATTAAAGGAAAATTTGCTTGAAGATATACAAGATTATAACATGTTTATATAAATTAGAGAAAGATGTTAACCTTTGCTGATTTTACAAGGTCCAGGGGATGTGAGGAGGGACATTTTTTTTTAATGCAACTAATGATAATGACCTGCAGTTGTCTGCCTGGTAGAAGCAGTGACGATCAATGATTTTAAAAGGAAATTGAATGGGAACTTGAAGGATGTAAATATGCAAGATTCCAAGCAGATGGGGTGGGGGTGGGGGTGTGTTTCTAATAAATGGGACTGACTGGATTGCTGCTCAGGGAGCCTGTGTGAACTTGTTCTGGTGGATGTCCTCATTCTGTCCATAATTCCAGATTGGGCTAAATTTTACCAGCCCACTGGAATTGGAACCTGGCCACCCACTGACCAGACACAGGCACCAAATATTCAAGTTGATGGACCAATTAACACCCATTTAAAATGTTATTTGGTATTTCTTCAGTATGCTGCTGACGCATGAAAGAAATCTCCTTACCTGGCCTTCGTGTTTAATGTACCTTTTCCTCCTTCCTGCAGTTTCAGCTGCAGCTACCACTATCAGTGGCACTACTAAAATTCTGGTTCTCTAATGGGGTGTCCTGATTAATCAGTGCCCGCTGTTAAAAATCCACCCCCCTCCCAAAAGAAAGAACTCTCGCCCCAAGTTTCAAAAAAGAAGACAGGTGGCAGAACAACATGGCTTTTTGCAAAATCTAGCCCTTTCACTATTAAAATTTGCAGGGTTTTATTTCAAGGTCACGAACTGCAGAATTCTGAGAAATGGTAAATTCACCTCAACTGTAAATATAGAAACACTTGTTATTTTTATTTTAAGTTTAATCCTGTATTAAGGGGTTGATGTGATGTTACCATGTGGAATGAGTACAGGTGGAGGAATGACCTACGTATATTTTGTTCGAATAAAGGCCTTTGCCAGGAGTAAGTTGTATATATTGCATGTTCTTCAGTTATTGCATTGAACAGTTTTTGAAACAAGTTGTTGAAATTGGTTATTTTGCTTTTTTCAGACACAATGAGGCCTACAGTTGGACAAATCCTTCATGTTGTGTACATAATGTTATAATTGGCAAACTATGGATAGAACAATATGGAACAGTAGAAATTGTGAATCATAGGTAAGCTTGGCTTAAAGAATAAGTAAGAAAAACAGAACTACAAGTAAATTAAAAAAAATTGTTCGGCATGTCAGGCAGCATCTGTGGAGAAACAGTCTTTCAGATTGTTAATGTTCATGGACCTGATGTGTTAACCATGTCTGTCCAGAAATGCTGCTTGACCTCCTGAATATTTCCAGTATTTTTTTTACTTTTGTTTGGCTTATACAATGTCTGTATGAATTATCATGATATAGTTAATGATACATGAATGATACAATTATAAAAATACTAAAAGAATGTAACCTGTGTTGTCATAGACTTGTACAGATAATTTTAAATGTTAAACATAAGAATGCCCAGTGACCAGGAAATTGTAGACATGGCAATATTCTTAGATTTAAACAGCAAATGAGTCTTGCTGTTATGAGTACTCATTTAAAGAAATGTTTCTGACTAAATGCTGGTCTTGTCTGACTCTGTTCTTACCTCTATTATTTTGTTGTCAAATCTGCTGTTGAGTTTCTCATGTCATTCGTAACCTGCGTAAATAATAGGTTCAAATATTTGTGTCTGAACTATTGGCTAGATGAATCAGCCTTAGTTAATTCCTTGTTCTTGAGACTTCCTACCATAATCTGAATTCATTATTAAAACCTTCACGTAGAGATTAAATAATCTTGAGTTATGTGCTACCTACCTTTCTGTCTCAATTTTTTTGCATGTGTATCAATTAGATCATGCATTAATATAACCATAAATGTATAATTTATAATATAAATGTAACCATAGTAGCCCAAGCCAAACATAGACACACGCAGGAATTCCTGGAGGCGTGTTCTCCACCCATACTTCAATCAACAAGCATATAGAATTGGATCCATATACAAACCCACACAGATCAAAACCGGAAATGACACTACTCACCATAACGGATCAGACAGTATAACTTCCAAGTGGAGTGGAATAACATCACTTCATCGGAGGCTCCACTGATGGTGTCGCCTAGATTGGTGACGAAATGTCTGAACGAGAACAAGCCAACTCGATGAGCGAGTCAACAACCTCACCCACAACCCGAGCTACAGATCTTTGCCAAAACTTTAAATGTGTTTTTATATGCATTTAAAACTGAATTCCAAATACTATAAATCTGTCATGGAACCTTGGGCATTTGGTCATGAATCTCCCATCTAAGATAGATGTTTGCTTTCGACTGAATCTGTGTGTGTGAATTATCACGCTCGTAAAAATAAATAGTGCTTTATTGTAATTGTGATTTAAGCCAGGATTTATATAGAATGCATAGAATCATATCATACTTTGTCGTGCAGGAGGAAACTATTTTATCCCCTCTGAAAGATCTATCAATTAACTATGCACCCCTGTTCCTAACACTATAGGCCTGCAGTTTTTTCTTTATAATTATTACTTCCACGCCCTTTCATGCAATGTATTCTGGCTCATAACATGACTGGTTTGCCAGTCACTATTGCCAATCAGTAATTATTCTCGAAGGTGGTGAACTGCTTTTATGAACCTCAGCTGTCCATCTGTTGTAGCTACACCCACAGCGCTGTTAGGACGGGAGTTTCAGGTTTTTGCCTAGCAGTAGTGTAGAGCTGCCAAAATAATGCAAAGTCAGGATGGTTTATGACTTGAAGGAAAAAGGAATCATTTGATACATATCAAAACAATATTAGCAGTAGAAATCAGGAAGAGTATCTCAAATGCAGGAGAGAGGCTACGGCTGGAATAAGGAAGGCTAAGAGGAACAAACAGGGTAAGCTGCTCGTGAAGAAAAGGATATAGCAGAAGTACTATATGAATATTTTGCTTCTGTCTTTACCAAATTAGGAGATGGTGACAGTGGCCTATTTGAAAACATGGGTTTTGAGCAAATGAACAATATGTGATAGATAAAGAAGAGTTGTAAATAAAGGCTGGCAGCTCTCCAGGTAGAGAAGTTGCCAGGCCTAGATGGGATGTATCCTAGATTGATGAGAGTTAATGAGCAAATTGCGGAACTGTTGAGAGAAATTTTCCAGACCTGTCTGAACAAAATATTAATCCCAGGGGACTGGTGGATTGCAAATGTGACACCATTGCTTAAAAAAGGGACAAAGGATAACCCAGGAAACTGCAGACACATCAGCTTTTCATCCATAGTGGGAAGATTGATGGAGGCCATAATATAGGATAAGGTGAATTATAAGGAGAAAATTAAGTTAATACTAGGCAGTCAACATGGCTTTGTCAAGAGCAGATCATGTCTGACACATTTAATTGAGTTCTCTGATGAGGTGACACAGGCAGTGGATGAGGCTAGTGCTGTGGATGTTGTACATTTTGGACTTTCGGAAAACATTTGATACAGTGCTGTGTGGCGGGTTGGTTAGCAAATTAGAAATATTTGGAATTGATGGCTCCTTGGCAGAATGGATTAGAAGTTATCTAAAAGATGGGAAATGGACGATAGGTATTGATGGGTATTTGACAAATTGGAGGTGAGTTGAACGTGGTGATCCCCAGGGATGGGTGTTGGAACTCTTGCTTTTTCTGATTTATATAAATGATTTAGAAATGGGTATTGAGGGCAAAATTTATAAATCTGCAGATAATACTAAGCTAGGGGGAATAGTGACTTGTGAAGATGCTGAGCAACTTCAGAGGGGCATTGACAAGTTGGCCAAATGGGTAGACACCTGGCAAATGAATTTCAATGCAGAGAAATGTGAGGTAATGCATTTTGGTAGAAGAAACATGGAGAGACCAATACATGCTCAATGATACAACTTTGAAGGGAGCAGAGGAGCAGAGGAACCTTGGGGTTCTTGTACATGATTCTCTGCAGGTGGCCAAGCAGGTTGAAACAGTTGTTAAGGTTTATAGGATCCTTTGGTTTATATATAGAGGCATAGAGTACAAAAACAAGGACATGGTGCTACATCCCTACAAATCATTGGTCAGTCCACATTTGGCATATTGTGTTTAGTTCTGGGCACCCTATTTAGGGAAGGATGTTAAAGCTCTGGAAAGAGTTCAAAGGAGACTTTCTAGAATGATACCAGGAATGAAGGATTTTAGATATAGAGAAAGATTAGGTATATTCTTTTTGAAGCAGACAAGATTAAGTGACATTAAGGTGTTCAAAATTATTAACAATTTTGACAGGGTAAAGGAGGATATTCTGTTTCCACTAGTTGATATGTTCGTAACCAGGGGTCACAATTTCAAGATTGTCAGAAGCAGAGCTAGGAGTGAGATGAGAAACTTATTTAGCCAGATTTATTAGGATTTGGAATGTGCCATCTTGGAGAGTGAAGGAAGTGGATTACATAGGAGGTTTGAGAAAAGACCTGGGTATATATTTGCAAGTGATGAGATTAGAGGGCTGTGGAGGTAGGGCTGGAGAATAAGGTTAGCTGGGTACCTCTTTTGGGAGCTAAAACAGACATGATGATGGTTCGGATTGCTTCCTGTATTGTTAATGTCTTTGATTCTTTGATAAAGGTATGGAAATAACTTCTGTCACAGCAGATGCGGGGACATCTATTAGAAGGGGAGCAGTCAACACAGAACTGAGGGTGCTGTAATTAAATGCATGCAGTATATGAAACAAGGTCAATGAGATTTTGGTACAGATTGAAATTGGCAGGTGAGATGTTGTGGATATCACAGATGTGGCTCCATGGGGTTTATGGTGGGAACTAAATATCCAAGTATATGAAAGGACAGGCAGATGGTGGGGGGGGAGGGGAGTTGCCTTATTAGTAAGAAATTTAAATTAAATTCCTCAGCAAGAAGTGATATAGAGTTGGAGGACGAAGAATCTGTGTGGGTAGAGTTGAGGAACCACAAAGGGAAAAGAGAAGGAAAAAGATTCTACTACTTTTGATTTTTCTCAGCCACAAATCTTTCTCACTAATAGCATTATGCCATCCACTAGTATTAGGGCTACCCTCCTCCTTTTTCCATTGTGTTTGTCTTTTCAAAGTATTATGTTCTCTGGAATAGTTACTTCCAAACCTCAGTCATCTTGTAACCATGCCTTTGTAATGGTGATTAGACCTAAACCGTGGGACTATATTTGTGCCACATTTTCATCTATCTTTATTTGATGATCTGTGTATTTAGATGGTGTAGCACCCAATTTAATTTGTTTTTAACTATTCCCTGCATGAATGTTACTCTTTGAACTATTACCATTAAATTCCCTGACCCTTCTTGTTTCATTCAGCTTGTTTTTACCCACATACTTTTGCCTCAAATGTTGTCTTTTGGACTTCTAAATCTCTCTTTACCTGTGACTTTTTCACCCTCTGTTAATTTAAAGTATGTTTCCATATTTTTGACTATATTTGCTGAAGCACTTATCTGGTCACATCATCCCAGTGGCTCTTTCCCTTTCCTGACATCAGGCCATTAATAAGCTGAGTTAAATTTGGGGTGCTTTCATTACTGGTGGGAATTCTCTGTGTGACATCTTTGAGGTACAGACTTGGCACTTCAGTATATCACCTAATTTTTGCCTCTTCTGTTCTGTTGTATTCCTGGACTCTGTTCTGAGTATCAAAGCAGTTTGAATCTTTGCATTAAACCTAACTATTCTAGCTTAGAGTCACTTATGTTTGCAAGGGAAATTTTTTCTAGACTGATCCATGAATCTTTAATGTGAATCTAGTCTAGTATTCTGGGAAGGTTCAAAATATGTACTTGCTGATGGTTATGTGTTCATAGATAAAAGATGAAAATACATTTGCTAGAATTCTATATTTGAATTTTAATTTACAAATGCTGTTGGATTTAGGATAATTCTTCTAACTCCATGCTCATATTGGGAACAACATAGCATTTGAATAATGTAGGATAAGTAGATGTTAATTTTATATCTGTACTACAATGCTGAATTGAATGAAATTTCCTTCAAGGCAGTGTAGCAGTTTTGAGTCCTTTCACACTCCTGTTTTATGACCTCTTTATTCTTTTTGCAGTACCGGTGAAAAATGTTTGCTGCATTTCAAACCATGTGGGCTTTTTGGAAAGGAACTGCACAGAGTTGAAGGATACATTCAAGACAAAAGGTTTGAAGGATTTTTTTTTTTCCCCACAATTCATGAAATGTGGGCATTGCTGGTGGGGCTAACATTTATTGTCACAACAACA